CTCAGTGAAGTCTGAGAGGGGAAAGATTTTAACTCAAGAACCAATTTTTTCATATATCCCATCTGAAATGAGCTTATGAGGAGTATGTATGCATTATTCATCCCATGTACTGGCTAGAATTAATAACACATCCATTGCTTCTGATACACTATCAGTACGGAGCTGTTTACCTATACTGCATCCAGGTGAAATAATGTACAGACACAGGTTTACTTGCTTGAGAACATGATGTGAATTTTAAGGCTCAGATGATCATGGGAATTTCTCCTCCAAGTTCCTCAGTTTCCCTGGGCAACACTGTCCTTGTGCATACAACTGATCTGTGTCTTCATTTGCCCTGGTTTCATTTGAACACGCTTCTCTCACTGCTCAGACTAAGGGAAGAAGGAAAGTCTATAAATCAATTACATCCTCACTAGCCCCGTTCTTGCTCTCTCTCTCTTGCTTCTTGAGGTAGCCGCTCATCCCCTGACTTCCTTACTTCCCCAGTTTTAGCAGCTTCAGATTTCCTCACTACCCTTGTACTAATTTTCTTTAAAAATAACGTCCAATTTAATATTTTTTTAAAAAATGAAGATGAAACATGAAAATCACTATCGGTTGCATAAATAAGCTTCTATACTGCAGTATTAAAACCATGGCTCTTCAGCAACACTTGCATAGATTTACGTACATCTCCTAGCTCCTTAGGGGAAAGAACCTGTCATTTGGCACAAAGTAGCTCCCTCATTGTGGAGTGGCATTTATAATGACGGTACCAGGTAAATAACTCAAGGATCCAAAGACAAAATTCATCCCTTAAGGTCATTATCTGGATTAACATAAGAAAAATCCCTGAAGGAGTTTAGAAACTATGAAGCAAGGAAATGGATTATACTAATCTGTGAATTCAGTGGTTCTTTTGTGGTCTGACAGATAAAATGCAGATAATGTTTTCCATTCAGTTATTACTGTTAGCGTTATCTATCTAATTTAAGTTAGTAATATTTTGGCAATTGTACATGTGTCCATTACACATTTTACAGAAAACCTGGTTATACCTACTGTGGGGCAACAGACAATTATTTCCAACAAACATAACCCTACCAAACAGCTTTTGCACAGCTCTGCTGTACGATACATATGTAAGTAGATATGTATACTAAACCCATTTTATTCTCCAGGCTTAGTCCCTCTATTTTAATTACTTATGCCCTGAAGACTACTTTTTTCTCAGATTCACAATGATGCACTTTCTGCTCAGTCATAGTCTGCTGCTCTATGTGAAGATCACAATCCTCGGTATTTACTCGCAGGGCTAGGTGAGAGGGTTCAACGCTGTCCCCATGTACCAAAAACCCGGCTTCACTGGCCTCCCATAAGACCCTGGCGAGCTTACTCAGGATTATATCCCCTCCTCCACTGGTGGTCCAGCAGCTGTAGCCTTTAACAGGCGACGTGACTTCAGCACTCGTCCAGAAGCAGCTCGGTGCTGTGCCTGCAGTGCTGCTCCCAAGCTGCTGTGTCCGAGGAGGAGGAGGAGGCAGAGCACAAAAGCCTGGGAGCGCAGCTCCGAGTGCAGCTCTTCTGCCATCAGGCTGGAGCTGGCTTGTGCCCAGCCAGTGCTGGCAGAAAGCGCGGGTGCATCTGTACCTATCTAAGCATGTAGCATTCGGTACTCTGGTGCTGCCTAAGCCCAGAGATGCATTTCTGCCAGTAAAATTTGCAAGGCATCAAAATGTGTTCTTTCAGTGAGGTCCAGCAGTAAGCACTGAGCAGCTAGGATCCTAGATTACATCTGACGGGATCCACGTGGCAGATAGGTCTCCCTTTTATAAGCCAACCCCAAATAAGAGCCCAAAGTAAGAGACCCACCCAGAGATTAGCACACTGCTATTTTCCTTGCTCTCCTCCTGCCTGCAGCAGAGTGTATTTATAGTAGAAGTACTCATGAAGAACACGGAGGGGCTAACTTAAATTTTGTCTATATTGTTTTGGTATCTTTGGCCCAGAGCCTAAGCACCATGCAAAGGTCATAGCCACCTGCCCATAAAATCATGATCTTAAAAGTTTAATTATTTTATATACAATAGAACAGTTCTAAAAAGATTATGTTGCTACCCAAGGAGAGGCTGCAGCGTGCTGGCTAGGTGACTCTCCTGAGAACTGAGGCACATTCATTCAAATTCTTGCCCTGAATCAGGGATGACATTTTATTTTGGGTGCCCCACTGTCTACTTGCAAGTTCTTAAATGAGAATTGCTGCTGGTATTCTTTGGCTTTGTATAAAACTTGTACCTATTCAATGGGAAAAGAATATAGTGCTTTTACAAGAATTAATTAAAGCACTAACAGGTGAATGGGGAGACCTGGATTTCAGTTCCTACTTCAGGCAAAGCAGAGGCTTCCCTGCAGACTCCTCAGCCTGGTAGTTAGAGCCTGCTTACAGGTTCACTTTCCCTTAGGGGGAAACAGGGACAAACCTTGGCTTTCCACACCCTTCTGACAGCTGGGATTTTTGGGCAACTCTGAGGGATGTTGCTACCTCATTGCTTTTGGTGAGAGAATGCCTAATTTTCCTACAACATGAAGGGGAACTAAAGTGCATAGCCATGTTCGTGCAGGAGCCAAGTCCTAAGGAGCAACTAAGATATACCGCAGGCTGGGCGTGCTGGCTCCTCCACATCCCGTCTTCAAGCATCCATGGGCAAATCCATACCATGCAGTGGGATGCCGTGCAGGGGTCTGTGACCCTAAAGCAGGCACTGACCCAGGCACCTGCCTCCACAGGGCAGAGAGGAAAGCAATGCAATAAATCAGTGCACCAACTTTGGCTCAGCCCAACCGCTGCAGAGAAAGCTCAGGAAGCAGTAAAATAAGAATACCATGAAACTGACTGAAAGATAATTTGTAATTAATCACTTTTATACTGTATGACGTAAAGCAGACTTAAAATTACGGAGAATTAGCCTGGCAATTGTAGCTTTAGCACACACCGTCATGGTTACTCCAAAACTGTCTATATACCACACTCTAACAGGCTTAAAAGAGTTGCAATAGAACTTTGAAAACATTTGCTTTTTAAATAAAGGAGGCTATTTGTGGCAATAATACTTCTGATGAAGGGTTCAGAGTCAACTGTAACCAATAGATATGATTGATGTCCATAATAATTGCACACTTCTGTAATCCTTCCTCACCCATAACAGTTTTGAGCTTACATTTTTAATATTATTAATACTCAGACAAAAATAACTTGTGGACAATATCATGTTCTCAACATGGTTGAGAATTGATCTATTTTTGTAAAACTGTTTAAGAATGATGGATACTTTTTCCTGCTTGAGTAAACACTAGCTAATTCTCTAGATGTTCCTTCTCTGTTCATGAAAATCCAAGTCCAAATGATTTCATGGATATTTAAAGGATGGTGCAAACACTGCACACACAAAGATTAATTTCTCCACTTGATAAAGATCTGATACCATTCATTACATTGCTAACACTTTAGTACTGGAGTTTTGTTGGGTTTTAATTTGTAAGAGAGAACACAATGAATTTAGGAACCACGTAAAATGGAGAGGAAAAAAATGAGGCAGCTGAAATGTAGCTGTGGAAAGAGACTCCAGTTGAAAGTATCACGCTTATTTTTATTCTAGATAATCAACAGGGCAGTCTGGAATAAACATGGATTGAAATTTTCTTCGTCTCTTTAATGAGTTCAAAGAGGCTAAACAAAGACACGGAAGAGCTGAACATTGCTGTGTACAACACAGTAAACAGATTAAAATTTTATACCTGAGCAAAAAAGGAATTTAACTATTAACTACAGCATGCAGAATAACTGATAAGTTATCACATAAACCTAGCATACTGTTATTAGGTTACAGTCATTCAGATGTTCTTAATTTTTACAAAGGCTAAAGATAGAAAGAGCTCCAAGACGAGATGAGTGTGTGACATAAAACCACAATAAGGAAAAGCACATTACCATCTAGCAGCCTTTCCAGAGGATCAAAATTATCTGCTGTTTTATTATCCAGAGAGAAAGCAGCAACAATTCAAAGCCTGTGGAGTTAATAACACGTTAGACATCTAAGCAGGTCCTGAAAATTAAAATATTGGCAGTTTATCAAGTGCTCACAGAAAAGCTGAGCCTGCATCCCTGGCCCACAAATGCTGCCTTAAAGCGCTGTGTCTGTGAGCAGAATGAAAGGTAGGGATCCGCAGGGAATGACTGATCAGGTCACAGGCTTCCGAATTTCTCACCAGCATAACCACAGCCCATTCTTAAGGAATGACTTTTTGCCCCGCTGGATTAGCCAAACCCCACATTTCATGTAGAAACTTGACCTTTCTTCACACTGAATCTGTTGTTTGGGTGTTTTTTGATTTTGGTTGTTTGGGTTTTTTTCCCTTTCCTTTTTCCCCCCAATCCATTTCAAATACTCTGGTTTGAAATAATTCAGTACAAGTAAAAAAAAAAAAAAAGAGTAACATACTTCTCTTCTCAATTCCTTTATCTTCATAAAGGACGCCTGTGGGAGAGAAAGGGTCTGAAAAGTTTGAGCTTTAACCAGCACAGCCCATTTCCCCCAGACAGGCTTCATTCTCCTGGCAGACTTCTGCTCTCCCTGCTCTCCATATCCAATGTAAAACTTACCTGCTCCCACCATCGATATTCCTGTGCTACAAATCAGTCGTTTGCCTTCCTACAGCAAAACCAGCAAACCCTGCCTTCAGCATTTAGACTTGTCAAAAAGAGATGGGAGGGATGGGAGCGTCTCCGACCCTGTTAGAGACAGCCATAAGCAAAGTCTCTCCCTTATATTTCCTTACAGTTGTATAGTTACATACTCTTGATGTCAACCAACTCCCCTCAAATCATACCACCTGCCTCGACTTCCTGCTACTTTTCTTTCACCATTTATGAATAAAACTATGCATTAAAAATGCATGTGTCAAAATGGATTTATTCTTTTGTCCACAACATACTAGTTTCTTCTTGGAAGTCAGACATCTTAGACATTGGTAGGTTGTGTGAAAGAGTCTCCAGGGAATTGAATCCTCTTTGCTTCTAGTTTCTTCCTGGCTTTGAAAGCTGCTGAGACTTCAGGGTGGATGGAGTCCAGCCGCTGTTCGCACTGGAAGGCCGTGAGGAAGGCCGTCCTGTAGTTGTTATTCATCCAGCCATAGAGGAGGGGGTTAGCAAACGTTGAGCACATGGCAATGACATGAAACACTGTGTAGATCAGTTTGTACTCTTTCAGGTCTAACACCTGACTGTCAATGTCACTGACTAGCTGGAAGGTGTGAAAGGGCAGCCAGCTGACAGCAAACACCACAACCACACACACCAGCATCTTGGTGGTTTTCCGCCGCCGGTGATGGTAGTGGTCGTTCCCCGCCCCAGGACTAACGTGGTTCTTAAGCTTGGTCCAAATACGGGCATAGGCATAGGAGATGACTGCCAGAGGCAGCACATACTGGATCAGGAGCATGGAGACGCTGTAGATGGTGCCATAGTTGAGCTGCCCCTCCCCTGGCCACTTCTCAGAGCAGACAACAATCTTGAAGTCAGGAATGATCTCGATCAGCGAGTACTCGCGGAAGATGGCCAGAGGACTTGCCAACAGGGCACTGACTGCCCAGGCAACTCCTATGATCAGGAAGCTGATTCGCTTAGAGATTTTGCTTTCCAAGTGGTAGACGATGCAGCGGTGCCGATCCAAAGCGATCACAGTCAAAGTAACAGTAGACACGTGCACAGCAAGAGCCTGGGCATATGGCACCAGGTGGCACAAGACCGGGCCCAGTTTCCATTCACCCAACAGCGTGTAAACCAAAGTGAAGGGCAGGCACAAGGTATTCACCAGCAGGTCGGCCACAGCCAGGTTGGCAATGAAGAAGTTAGTCACCGTGCGCATGCTTTTGAACTTGATGATCACATGGATCACCAGGGAGTTGCCAATCACCCCCAGCAGGATGATGGAGCAGTAAGCAAAGATGAGGATTATCTGCACTTCAACTAGTGTTGTGCTGTCCTTCAGCTCTGGTTTAGGGTCCAGAGCCAATTCGTTGAGCGGCGTGGTGTATCTCGGCAAGTACAGCTTGGTGAACTGCTCCACTTTCATTTCATCTGTCCGGTTCTCTTCGCCTACTGCTTCCAGGGGCCCCATCCTTGCAGCAGCCTGGTCTAAGCAACAGAGCTGTCCCTGGAAACAAAACAGTACAAGAACATGTGGAGAAATCAGTCTGCGCTGGCTAAGACATGAAGTAACGAGCTGAAGCTACAGCTGTTTCCTCCTCTAACCCACGTTCTACATCTCAGGATTAAGAGAAGATCTGTCTTAATATATTTAAATTCTGTTGCCCTTACATTTGAAGCCCGATCCTGTAATATTATTTTATGCATGACTCCTG